ATGAATGACCCAGGATGTCATCTCATTGGCTGACTGACTGACTGACTGACTGACCTGACTGACCTGACTGACCTGACTGATTGACTGACCTGACTGACCTGACTGACCTGACTGACCTGACTGACCTGACTGACCTGACTTACTTACTTACTGGCTGACTGACTGACTGACTGACTGACTGACTGACTGACTGACTGACTGACTGACTGACTGACTTACTTACTTACTTACTTACTTACTTACTTACTTACTTACTTACTGGCTGACTTACTTACTGGCTGACTTACTTACTGGCTGACTTGATTGACTGACTGACTGACTTACCGACTTGACTTTACTGACTTACTGACTTGTAGTCAAGAAAGTCACTAGACTCAAGATTTACTATCAAATTGCTCCACTCAGTTTATCAAAAGTTTGTCTAAAGATGCCTTATGAATTTTGTCCTATAGAAGTTTACTGCATTCCCTGTCAATGTTGAGGGGCCTGTAAATCACACCCAAGATTAGTTTATCATGACTCTCAATAAACTGTAGCCAAACACTCAGTATCCGATGCTTCTAATTTAACATGTGTAATGCAACAGTTTAGGTTATGTCTGATGTACATTCCCTCTGCACCACCCTTCCTGTTGACCCTATCTGTGTGGAATAATTTATAGCCTTGTATGTGGCATTCAGAAGGCATTTCTCTATCTTTCAGGTTGAACCAGGTCTCTGTTATAGCAATAATATCTATGCTTCCTGCACATGCAATTAATCTTAGCTCATCTATCTTATTTCTAACAGTCCTGCTATTAGTATAGTAAACCTTAAGGGAGCTAGCCACTCACTGCCCTCTACTGTCTCTCTTTGTTTGTTGACCAGTTCCATTGTCTTTATTAGTAACTTTGTGATAAGTTAGATGAAGTGGCAGTAGACAAAGGGATTCTCACTGGCAGGTGTGATTTCCCAGTGGAAGTAGGTCATTCCCGAGAGTTGGGCCAGGAGTTAGCAAGTAGGTTTTGATGACCCGTTTCTAGGGAATTCTATTTACTGGTGACAATGCTTTCGTCTGCTGCAGCTCATCTGACTTTAGTATTAAAGATCCAGTCTTCCTGCCTGTACTTCAAATTCTTCAAGACTATAGTGCTCATCACCTGCTCCTAGGCTGAGGGATTGATCATCTCATCTTCTGTCTGCTGTACATATTTTTATAGTCTTTGGATAATGTCCATGTATTGTATTGATGAAGTCACTATATGGCAAAATTTTGCAAGTAAAGATTCCCAGATGTTGCACATGTGTCTGTTAGTACAAGCTTGTCTATACAAAATGTTTGAAATTGCTATCTGAAATAGTGCTTCATCCTTACCTACTTAATCTCTTTCAAATTTCTTATTCTTTTTTTTTTGTTTTATTAACACATTGGCTGTTTCCCACCGAGGTAGGGTGACCCGAAAAAGAAAAAAAAAACACTGTCATCATCATCATCATCATCATCATTCACTTCATCACTGTCTTGCCAGAGGCATGCCTACACTACAGTTAAAAAACTGCAACATATCAACACCCCTCCTTCAGGGCACAGGCACTGTACTTCCCACCTCCAGGACTCAAGTCCAGCTTACCAGTTTCTTGAATCCCTTCATAACTGCTACTTTGCTCATGCTTACCCCATCCCTCTAACCTTTCCTATGACCCCCTACCTTCCACTACAGATTTATATGCCCTCCAAGTCATTCTGTTTTGTTCCATCCTTTCTGAATGTCCGAACCATCTCAACAATCCCTCCTCTGCCCTTTGGATAATACTTTTAGAAACCCTGCACCTCCTGATCTCTAAGTTAAAGATTCTTTGCATTATATTCACACCAAACATTGCCCTCAGACATGACATCTCCACTGCCTCCAGTCTTCTCCTTGTTGCAACATTCACCACCCTTGCTTCACACCCATATAAGAGAGGTGGTACCACTATACATGTACTCTCATACATCTCCATCTTTTCTTCCATGGATAATGTTCTTTGTCTCCACAGACTCCTCAGTGCTCTACTCACCTTTTTTTTTTCTTATCAATTCTACGATTCACCTCATCTCTCACAGACCCATCTGCTGACAAGTCCGTTCCCAAATGCCTGAATACATTCACTTCCTCCATACTCCCTCCAATTTGATATCCAATCTTTCACTACCTAAATTATTTGTTATCCTCATCATCTTGTTCTTTCCTATGTTCACTTTTAATTTCCTTCTTTTACATACCCTTCCAAGCTTGCTCACCAACCTCTGCAACTTCTCTTCAGAATCTCCCAAAGCACAGTGTCATCAGCTAAAAGCAACTGTGACGATTCCCACTCTGTGTTAGATTCTTTCTCTTTTAATCCCACACCTCTTGCTAACACCCAATCATTCACTTCTCTTACAACCCCATCTATAAATATATTGAACAACCATGGTGACATCACACATCCCTGTCTTAGGCCTACTTTTACTAGGAAATAATCTCCCACTCTCCTACATACTCTTAACCTGATCCTCACTATCCTTGTAAAATCTCTTAACTGCTTTCAGTAATCTGCCACTTGTTCCATACATTTGCAGCATCTGCCACATTGTTCCCATATCCACCCTATCATATGCCTTTTCCAAATCTGTAAATGCAACAAAAACCTTTTTCTTTCATCTTTCAACACACCGGCTGTATCCCACCGAGGCGGGGTGACCCAAAAGGAAAAACGAAAGTTTCTCCTTTTACATTTAGTAATATATACAGGAGAAGAGGTTACTAGCCCCTTGCTCCTGGCATTTTAGTCGCCTCTTACAACGCGCATGACTTACGGAGGAACCATTCTTTTCCACTTTCCCTTGGAGGTAAGAGGAAATAAACAAGAACAAAAACTAGAAAGAAAATAGAAGAAAACCCAGAGGGGTGTGTACATATATGCTTGTATATGTATGTGTAGTGTGACCTAAGTGTAAGTAGAAGTAGCAAGAGGTGCCTGAAATCTTGGATGTTTATGAGACAGACAAAAGACGCCAGCAATCCTACCGTCATGTAAAACAATTACAGGCTTTCGTTTTACACTCACTTGGCAGGACGGTAGTACCTCCCTGGGTGGTGCTGTCTACCAACCTACTACCTATAAAAAACCTTTTTACCTTTATCTAAATACTTTTCAACTATATGCTTCACTGTAAACACTTGGTTTACACCTCCTACCCTTCCTAAAGCCTCCCTGTTCATCTGCAATCCTGCTCTCCATTTTTTTTTTTATTAACACACTGGCCAATTCCCACCGAGGCAGGGTGGCCCAAAAAAGAAAAACTTTCACCATCATTCACTCCATCACTGTCTTGCCAGAAGGGTGCTTTACACTACAGTTTTTAAACTGCAACATTAACACCCCTCCTTCAGAGTGCAGGCACTGTACTTCTCATCTCCAGGACTCAAGTCCGGCCTGCCGGTTTCCCTGAATCCCTTCATAAATGTTACTTTGCTCACACTCCAACAGCACATCAAGTATTAAAATCCATTTGTCTCCATTCACTCCTATCAAACACACTCACACATGCCTGCTGGAAGTCCAAGCCCCTACTCCGCCTTCCTTCCACTACAGACTGATACACTCTTGAAGTCATTCTGTTTCGCTCCATTCTCTCTACATGTCCGAACCACCTCAACAACCCTTCCTCAGCCCTCTGGACAACAGTTTTGGTAATCCCGCACGTCCTCCTAACTTCCAAACTACGCATTCTCTGAATTATATTCTCACCACACATTGCCCTCAGACATGACATCTCCACTGCCTCCAGCCTTCTCCTCACTGCAACATTCATCACCCATGCTTCACACCCATATAAGAGCGTTGGTAAAACTATACTCTCATACATTCCCCTCTTTGCCTCCAAGGACAAAGTTCTTTGTCTCCACAGACTCCTAAGTTCACCGCTCACCCTTTTCCCCTCATCAATTCTATGATTCACCTCATCTTTCATAGACCCATCCACTGACACGTCCACTCCCAAATATCTGAATACATTCACCTCCTCCATACTCTCTCCCTCCAATCTGATATCCAATCTTTCATCACCTAATCTTTTTGTTATCCTCATAACCTTACTCTTTCCTGTATTCACTTTTAATTTTCTTCTTTTGCATACCCTACCAAATTTATCCACCAACCTCTGCAACTTCTCTTCAGAATCTCCCAAGAGCACAGTGTCATCAGCAAAGAGCAACTGTGACAACTCCCATCTTACTATTAATTCTTTCAATAATAGCTCTACATACACTTTACCAGGTATAGTCAATAGGCTTATTCCCCTATAATTTTTACACTGTCTTTTGACCCCTTTGCCTTTGTACAAAGGAACTATGCATGCTCTCTGCCAATCCATAAGTACCTTCCCCTCTTCCATACACTTATAAAATAAAAGCATCAACCATTCCAAAACAATAGCCCTGTCTGCTTTTAACATTTCTCTCTTTATCCTATCAACCCTAGCTACTTTACCCCCTTTCATTCTGTCCAGTGCCTCATGCGCCTCCCCACAATCACAACTGGCTCTTCCTCACTCCTACAAGATGTTATACCTCCTTGCCCAATGCATGAAATCACAGCTTCCCCATTTTCAACCTTTAACAGTTTCTTAAAATATTCCCTCCATCTCTCCGATACTTCTAACTCTCCATCTAATAACTCTTCTCTCCTGTTTTTATCTGTCAAATCCATTCGTTCCCTAGGCTTTCTCAACTTATTAATCTCACTCTAAAAAATTTTCTTATTTTCAGAAAAATTTGTTGATTGCATCTCGCCCGCTCTCATTTGCACACCTTTTACATTCCTTCTTCACCACTCTCTTAACCTCTGTTTTTCTCTCCATATACTCCTCTCTCCTTCTATCACTTCTTACTCTTTATAGAAACAAAATCATACTAATTTCTGGTAGTGTATGGATACTTTTCTTAAAGCTGCTGGTCTTCCTTCTTCAGAAATGTTCTGTATTGCACCTTTCAGGGATGACTATGATGTATCCTGCTCTGAGTTAGATCAACTAGTGGAAGCTGCCCTTGAAGTTCCTGGTGTGTTTGGCTCAAGAATGACAGGTGGTGGCTTTGGTGGCTGCACCGTCACACTGGTAAGTGGGGTTTTGTGCAGTTTTTGTGGCTTCACTGTAAAACTGTCTTCACCAATAACCGATAACAAAAGTCTGTTTATCCAAGATTGATTCTTGTGTGTTTAATTATCTATTTGTAATTATAGAATTGTGGCATACATTGTCTCTTCTGCATTATCAAATGGAATTGTTCCTTGTCATTCTTACAAGGTATTTCTAGTGCCTTTAGTCTTTGTAATATACTTTTCTCAATATTCATATTTTTTTCATTTGCATTTTGTCTATTGTCTGTCTTTGGGTGCATATGATATGCTATATTTTCATATTTCAGTTTAGGCTAGCATGTGCTTCAGACAATCTTTTTAGAATGTTAGTTTAGGTTAACATGTGTCTTGGACAAGCTTGTATAGAATTTGTCCATCCATTTAATTTCATTATTCAGTCTAATTTCTTCATGGAACCTATTTTACACTTTCACCCCATTTTCATTGCATATCATTACTGTGCATTTTATCTGTGTTGAACTTGAGCATTCATTTTTTATTGCTTCATTAATTCTTTGTCTAAATCTTGTAGAGTTTTACAGTAATTTTTAATTTAAATTTTTCATATAAAAAATTTCATGATAAAATATAATCATATACAGCCTCTCCTCACTTAACGATAGAGTTCTGTTCCTGAGATCAGGTCGTTAAACGAATTCGTCACTAAGTGAGGTGCATACTATAATGGTAGTGAGTTTGTGTCAACCATCTTTCATATTGTTTTAATGTTACTTTTGCACTATTTATAACATTTCTGGTATATTTTTAAATGTTTATACAGTAGTATACTGTATTGAAATAAACAGAATAGAGGAAATCAGCTCTAATATATATTATTTAGGTCAGAGAGCCCATCGTAAGTCCAAGGCGTCGGTAAACAAGTACGTCGCTAAGTGAGGAGAGGCTGTACACTATACAGGTGTTATACTTATTAGCTTGTGATAAATTATTTATTGGGTGTATAAACTAAAACTCCATGGGGAAGAAGAGAAGAATCCTTCCTCTGTAAACTATGTGTGTCATAAAAGGCATCTAGAATGCTGGAAGCAAGGGGCTAGCAACCCTTTCTTCTCTATAAATTACTAATTGTAAAAAGAAGAAAAACTTTATGAAAGCATTCTTTTCTGGGTCACCCTGTGTCAGTGGTAGACGGCTGGCATGTTAAAAAAATACATAGATGGTATTCTGAATTGAGGTCAGCACTTTTCTTGAAGATAGCCATTGAATGAATGATGGTAAATGTGTTTTTTTTTAATTTGGGTCACCCCACATCGATAAAAGAGGGCCGTTGAGGCAAAAACAAATTTTTTTAATCGTTTTGTCTAATTGGGAGTATGTATTCTCATGGCACTTACTTAGTGTGGGCCTGTAAGGACAGCTTTTCTTTTATCACTGCCTACCTATTTTGCTTTAATGAAAAAGTATCCCTTATCCCTTATAATAATTTGCCTTCTATTCCTTGTGTATTTTGTAGTTTCCTAATTGGTGTTTCAAGAGGAACTCATATCGAAAGCATTTTCTCAGAGTTCAAATAACTGTGGTCTTCTCACTTATTCCACTCTTTTTCTATTTCTGTGACTAATATTGCTGCTCAGAATATTTTTGCTCATCGAAAGTTATATTATTAAATAACTGCATATACTAAGTTCTTCAAAATTTTTTAGCCAATTTTCTCTACTTGCTTTTTATTTTTTAAAACTGGCATCTCCCACTGAGGTAGGGTGACCTGATAAAGAAGAAAACACATTCAACATTGCTCATTCAATCATTGTCTTACCAGAAGAGTGCCAGTATCACAGTTCAGATGATCCTCTAAACCACATCATTGCTGCCCCTCCTTCAGAGTGCAAGCACTGTACTTCCCACCTCCAGGTTCCAAGTCTGGCTAACCAGTTTCCCTGAATCTCTTCATAAATGTTACCTTGCTCACATTCCAACAGCATGTCAAATCACGAACACCATTTGCCTCCACTCACTTCTATTTAGAATGCTCACACAAACCTGTTGGATGTCCAAGCCTCTAAGCACTCAAAAACTCCTTTACCCCCTCCCTCCAACCTTTCCTAGGTTGATCCCTATTCCTTCTCTCCACCCCAGATTTATATGCCCTCCTGGTCATCCTATTTTCTCCATCCTCTCTAAATTTCCAAACCACATTAAGAACCTTGTAGGTAGTAGGTTGGTAGACAGCAACCGCCCAGGGAGGTACTACCGTCCTGCCAAGTGAGTGTAAAACGAAAGCCTGTAATTGTTTTACATTATGGTAGTATTGCTGGTGTCCATTTTTCTGTCTCATAAACATGCAAGGTTTCAGGTACGTCTTGCTACTTCTACTTTCACTTGGGTCACACTACACATACATGTACAAGCATATATATACACACCCCTTTGGGTTTTCTTCTATTTTCTTACTGGTTCTTGTTCTTGTTTATTTCCTCTTACCTCCATGGGGAAGTGGAACAGAATTCTTCCTCTGTAAGCCATGCGTGTTGTAAGAGGCGACTAAAATGCCAGGAGCAAGGGGCTAGTAACCCCTTCTCCTGTATATATTACTAAATTTAAAAGGAGAAACTTTTGTTTTTCTTTTTGGGCTGCCCCGCCTCGTTGGGATACAGGCCAGTGTGTTGAAACAAGAATTAAGAACCTCTCCTCAGTCCTCTGAATAATACTTTTGGTAACTTCACACCTCTTAATCTCCAGACTGAGTTCTCTGCATAATATTCACACCACACACATTGCCTCTAACCTCTTCCTTGCTGTTATGCAGGTTTCTGCATTGCAATGTATTATGTATAGTGGAGAAGTTTGCCATAATTTTATAAACAATGTTATAATTGTGAACCATAATTTTATGAATAATGTTATACATTTGTGGGAACTGTAAATTAGCTTAAACTGTAAAATGTAAGGAAGTTCTGTCGTGACTTATTTTGCAAGTGTGGTTGTATAGTGTCAGTGTGTGAGCATGGGTAGTCACGCTGGAGAGCAGCATGGGCGACAAATATGCTGGCTAGACACAGTGTATGTAAGCTAAGTTTTGTACTCCTTTTGTTTATCCAACTCAAGCCATAGGCTTCTTTAGTGATTACCAGTAGGCTCACCTGGGGTCTGATGTTGTCAGGGCTCTGTGTGATGAGTAAGGGCTGAAGAAATTGGATGAAATGGTGTCAGTAGGAGAGTAAGGTAGGGCATGGCTCCCACTGGGCACTAACCCCATACTTACGTGTGTGTGTGTTTTTTTTTGCCTTGATATTGCAGTCTGCCTGCTCCATAAGTATCTGTATTTGGGTATACATGCTGAGGGAAATGTAGGTTACCTCGTTGCCTGGAGGTTATTCCGGGGATCAATGCCCCCCGCAGCCTGGTCCATGGTGTGTTTATCTAATGTTTGTATATATTGGTAGAGGTAATAAATGTATATTTTCTTAATGAGGAATTTTGCCTGAACCCTCTAATAACCAAACCATTGAAGTAGTGAACACTAGTTTATCGCTTTTCATGATATTTGTGTAACTTTTACCTTTGCCCCTAGACAAGGCCTTAAGCCCCAGGTTCTCCATTTTCTGTGTAACACTTGCTACATCTTTCAAAACCTGTTTCACACCCATACAAAAGTGATGATGCCACTGTACTCAGGCACATTTTCCTCTTTTTTTTCTCCATGGATAAAGTTCGTTGTCTCCACAGATGCCTCAATACACTACCCACCTTTTCCCCTTTATAGTTCACCTCATCTCATACAACCATCTTCTAACAAGTCCACTCCCAAATATCTGAACACATTTACTTCCTCCGTACTATATATATGTAATCTCGCATTGCCTGTAGTTTTGATAATCTTATCACCTTGCTCTTTCTTATGTTTTCCTTTAATTTCCCACTCAAATTCATTTGCTAACTTTGCAACTTCTCTTCCAAATCTCCCAAAAGAACTGTATCATTGAAAAGCAACTGTGATAACCCCTACTCCATACCAGATTCACTATTTTTTCACTCCCACACCTCTCTCTAACACCCTAGTGTTCACTCTTGGTTTTATGATAAAAAATATTAATGAGAAATATCTATAATTTAAATGGTCTTTATCACCTTTTTTTTATATATATATCAGCTCAGTGTTTAACTTGTTAAAATTGTCTTCCGGTTTACTTTTGTGAATGTAAATCATGAAAACTGTCCAGGGTTTGTAACAAAGTTCTTTTATAAATGTCCAGTACAGTAGTAGTCATATCTGTGTCCATTACATTATTAGTTTTATCCATGTCCATTACAGTATAGGTTTTTTATTCATGTCCAGTACATTACATATGGTAGTTTTATTCATGTCCAGTACATTACATATGGTAGTTTTATTCATGTCTAGTACATTACATATGGTAGTTTTATTCATGTCCAGTACATTACATATGGTAGTTTTATTCATATCTAGTACATTACATATGGTAGTTTTATTCATGTCCACTACATTACATATGGTAGTTTTATTCATATCTAGTACATTACATATGGTAGTTTTATTCATGTCCACTACATTACATATGGTAGTTTTATTCATGTTCAGTACATATAGTACAATAGTAGTTTCATATTTGGCCATTTCAGTAGTAACTCACTGTACACAGTAATAACTTGCTATACACAGTAGTTACTCACTGTACACAGTGGTAACCCACTGTACACAGTGGTAGCTCACTGTACACAGTAGTAACTCACTATACACAGTAGTAACTCCCTGTATACAGTAGTAATGCACTAAACAGAAGGGAGCCTGAACTAATGGCAAGCCAGTCTTTAAAACTAGCAGGCCAGTGTGTTATCCGCTATACCATGCTGACCTAATAAGATTCATAAAACTGAGTGTATGTATTTCCATATGCACTAGGAAGGTTAGCAAGGCCCCACCTTGACCACAAATGTTGTCTATAAGTTTTGACTGTGGAAAAACTTATTGATTGATATATTGCAGGTGCAACAAGAGTGTGTGGACAAGCTCATCTCCCACATACAGCAGAGGTATAATGGTAAACCTACGTTCTACGTTTGTGTTCCCTCAGAAGGAGCTCAGCAGTTATCTCTTTAGAGCTCAAACATGTTAAGCACAGTACAGTAAGCAAGAAATACTTTACTGCATTACTGTCTCACTGCCATACCTGCCTTTGTATTTTGTATAAATATTGCAAAGCCATAAATTTGTATTCTCTTATGTACAGTTTTGAAGAAAATATATTTTGTGTGCATGATTATTTATGATTAACTGTTTGTAGTTACAGAAGCAAAACTTTCTTTTCTTTCAATACACCGGCTGTATCCCACTGAGGTGGGGTGTCCCAAAAAGAAAAATGAGAGTTTCTTTTTTTAAATTTAGTAATGTATACAAGAGAAGGGGTTACTAGCCCCTTGCTCCTGGCATTTTAGTCGCCTTTTATGACATGCATGGCTTACGAAGGAAGAATTCTGTTCCACTTCCCCATGGAGATAAGAGGAAATAAACAAGAACAAGAACCAGTAAAAAAAAAAAAAACCCAGAGGGGTGTGTATATATATGCTTGTCTATGCATGTGCAGTGTGACCTAAGTGTAAGTAGAAGTAGCAAGGCGTACCTGAAATCTTGAATGTTTACGAGACAGAAAAAAGACAACAGCTGTCTACTAACCTACTGCCTAGGAGAAGCAGAGCTATGAGCTTTATATTCTGTCTTCAGCAATCAGTTTGTCATATAACACAGCACTTCACAATTTGCCAATGGTTGTAGCACTTTCTGGCAACACTTGAATCCTATTACAGTGTTTATTTCTTATTCATAAAGATAGCCTTTCTAGTGTTCTTTTGCCACAATTTTATATTTACTTTGCAAATGTGCCCTCTTATTTTCCCCTCTTAATGTCAAGAAATCATCTTTATTTTTTAATATCTTTTATGATTATGTCTCTTCTCAGATTAGTCAATGAGGGCATTTTTAGTATTTTTATTTTTCAAACATTTTCTTTCAACTCTTGTAGTAAGTCTTTGGAATTTTCCTTTCTTTTCAACATGTTTTATTTAAGAATGAAAACCTCACTACTACAGCAGGGTAATATGCACTCTCCGTAAAGTATATGAAGGCTAATTTCAAGTTTGCTAGTGTTGCATTTGAGTTTTTAATGATTTCATTCATGCTGTCTTCCGGTGACAATCTTCAGTTTGCAGTTATTCTTAGTTTACTCCTTCTGGTTTCTTGCTTTCACTATCTTATCACAATCTTAAAAAATTTCTTGTAGCCTCTCTCTTTCCCATGCTTTATTAAGGTATTTCCTTCAGGGTAACCCAAAAGAAAAAATCGTTGTCATCATCTAGAGGTTTACAGTGATTTTATTACTTTGCATAGGTTTTTTGCATCTGCAAACATGTGCTTTATCCTGTTGGCAAACCATTTATGTAAATTAGAAACATCAGGGCTAGTTTCATCTTTGTAGAGCCTTTCTAAAAATATTTTTTCTCTGATGATTGTTCACATATTACTTTTAAACAGAATCTCTCATCCATTTAAAAGTTTATAATTTATTCTTACAATGTTCTGTAGTTTTCATTCTTTCTTTGGTGGGAAATTCTGTCAAAAGTCTCTGAAATCTAAATACTTTACAGGTCTCCCTTGGTTTATGTGGATTCTCTTAAGGAATATGCCCATCAGTTTTTTTTACTGAGTAATAGATTTGCTGATTGATAACTGAACTGCTTATTAGCAGGTTTATATTTCTCTAATGACTTTATCTGATGCATTTATAACAACATTTGTCAGTGAGACAGATCTGTAGTTCAGAGGATCTTCCATCCTACATTTTTTTTTTTTTTAGTATCTGCACAGTTTTTTTTTTTTCATTTATCCTCCAGGTGACCTCCTTATAAAGAAGTCCCAAACTTTTTACAAAGTGGATACCTTAGTTCTTCATATTCTTTTAAGATCTAAGGTGGTATCTCCTTGGGTATCTCCTTGCCTTTATTCTGTTTTTTCTCTCATAATTAGTTAGCTATTTACAAACATGAATAAAAGATTTGGTTCCACCTTTCTTTTTCAAAGTTTCTTTCCTAATTACAGATGTATGTAAATAACTTTTTGACTTTTTCTAACCCTTTCAGGGTCCGTGCCATAGATCTACGGCTTTGAGTTGAGGGTCCAAACCGTAGATCTAAGCCATGAGCTCAGCTCACTCTGATAAGCTGTGAGCGGTAAATTTGGGCCTAGATAGGAGAGAATACATCCATGTGGTATGTGTGCACCACATATAACAAATCCTGCAGCACACAGTGCATAATCAAAGAAAAACCGAGACCATAATTTTTTATTAAAACAGCGACTTTGCAGTGTTTTTTCATCTGTTTTTTATAGTTGTATTTGCGATTTCTTGGTCTCATTTGATTGAACGAAAGATATATCACAGAAATAGAGATGATTTTGATTGGTTTTAGTACTGGAAATGGCTTGAAACTGAGCTCAAAGTAGAGGAAATGTTAAATTTTTGCCGATGTTCGAGAGTAAACAAGTGACCTCACACGTCTAATACACACCAGCTGGTGGTCTAGTATATGTTCACAAATGTGGTGATATTATTTATACAATTACGTATTACAATATTGCATAACAGTAAATCTTTTATTTTTGGGTTTGAATAAAAATTCATTATGTGAATAAAAAATAAAAATGGAATTCATTTGTAAAACCTGAAAACATAACTGATGAACAAAGGAAATGTTAGTTTAGTTCCAGGAATACCTACATTGTTTATTCTGGACCCTATTTTGAAATTGGAATATTTTGAACTTTGCCTTAAATTGGCCAAATTACCATTTTCCAATCACTTTATTTTGTAGTTGAAACAGTTGAGTTGACAATTCTTGTGCTCAATTAATAGAATAGAAGTAATACTAGTGAAATAGCTAAGAATTTGGTCGACTGGAATAATGTAATTGGCCTATAATGGGAGTCAAAGTTGGCAAAATCACCGGTGCATAAATATCGAGAGCATAATTTCATCAGTTTTCCATCAAATTTCGTACTTTTTGTTTTATTACCTCCAGAAAAAGATTCTCTACCATTTCATAAGAAAAAAATAATTTTTTTTTTGAAAATTCTTGGACCCTGGTGCGCACTTTGAAATTTGGCCTTTGGACCCTGAAAGGGTTAATCTGATAAGCCTCTGGGTTGGCACATTTCATGTCATGTTTCAAGTTGCTTTTTTTCGTATGTTTGTTTTATGGATCTTCAGCACCTGTTAACCATTCTTTGTTGTTTTATCTTGTTTCTTTTTTGGGGGGGGAATTAACTACAGTGGACCCTCCCTTTTTGTCGATTTCCGGTATCGCCAATTTCGGTTTTGGCTGAGTTTTATCGTTGATTTTATGGTTCTGTTTTCGTCGATTTCCTCCGTTTTTGTCAGTCGTACAGAACCTGTCCAGTGTCCAGCATGCAGACAAAGCCGCCTCCCACACGCATTCTCACGCAGTGTAGCATTGTTTCTCGCTGAGTGAACATATCCTGCCAGGTCATACGAAACATTTCATAATAATCCACTGTTTTTGCCACTTGTTTATTGTGTGTGACTACTAAATAGGTGACCATGGCCCCAAAGAAAGCTCCTAGTGCCAGTGCTTCAGTAAAGAAAGTGAGAAACACCTTAGAACCGAAAAAGGAAATCCTAAGAAAATATGATAGTGGCATATGCATTGCTGAACTCGGCAGGATGTATGGGAAGTCCCCATCAAAAATCAGCTCCATTGTGGCAAAGAGAAAAGAAATCATGGCAGCTGATGTTGCAAAAGAGGTGAATGTGATAACCAAACAGAGATCCCAAACAATTGAAGAAGTGGAGAAATTGTTGTTGGTGTGGATCAGAGAGAAAGAGTTAGCAGGAGACAGTGTTGTACAGTCCATAATTTGTGAAAAGGTAAGGCAGTTGCATGATGATCTCATAAGGAAACTGCCTGAAACAAGTGCTGATGTAGGTGAATTTAAGGCCATCAAAGGCTGGTTCAAAAAATTCAAGAAGTGAAGTGACATACACAGTGTTGTAAGGTACGGTGAGGGTGCCAGTTCAGACAAACAAGCGGCTGAAAAATTTGAGTGGGAATTCAAAGGTTATGTAGAGACTGAAAAATTCCAACCCCAACAAGTGTTTAATTGTGACGAAAAAGGCCTATTTTGGAAGAAAATACCAAAGAAGACCTATATTACGCAGGAGGAAAAAGCATTCACAGGACACAAGCCTTTGAAAGACAGGCTAACTCTCTTGTTGTGCGGTAATGCTAGTGGGGATTTCAAAGTGAAGCCTTTACTGGTGTATCACTCTGAAAATCCCAGAGTGCTCAAGAAAAACAGTGTTGTCAAGAGTAAACTGTGTGTGATGTGGAAGGCTAACAGTAGGGCATGGGTCACTAGGGAAATTTTCCTGGAATGGTTCAATGAAGTGTTTAGTCCCAGTGTGAAAAAATACCTCCTGGATAATAAATTGCCACTCCAGTGCCTCCTGATAATGAACAATGATCCTGCTCATCCTCTGGAGTTGGAAGACCAATTGTCTATGGAATTCAGTTTTGTAACAGTGAAGTTCTTGCCTCCTAACACCACTCCTCTCATCCAGCCCATGGACCAGCAGATCATTGTAACCTTCAAAAAATTGTACACCAAAGCAATGTTTCAGTGGTGCTTTGACTTAACCTCAGGCTCTGAATTGACCCTAAGAGAGTTCTGGAAGAATCACTTTAATATCTTCCATTGCATAAGCTTTATAGATAAGGCTTGGCAGGGAGTGACTTCCAGGACAATGAACTCTGCTTGGAGAAAATTGTGGCCAGAATGTGTCCAAGAGAGGGATTTTGAAGGGTTTGGAGCTGACCCTGTCGCCCCTACACCTGTTGTGCAATCAATTGTGGCACTGGGAAATTACATTGGGTTGGATGTGGGTGGTCAAGATGTGGAAGAGTTGGTGGAGGACCACAATCAAGAGCTAACCACTGATGAGCTGCAAGAGCTTCATCTGCAACAGCAACAGACCACGGCACAGGAAATTGCTACAGAGGAGGAGGAAGAGAAATGGAAGCAGGTGCCTTCAGAGATTAAGGAGATTTGTGCAGTGTGGACTAGGGTGCAGTCATTTATGGAGCTATTGCATTTATGAAAGTTATTGCAGTCTGTGCTGGCGACTTTTACAATGACAATGCTATGTCCCATTTTAGGGAAATTTTAAAAACTCCCAAAACACACCTATCTAGACAGATATTTTGTGTGACAGGGGTCCAGTGACTCTCAAGCTGGTCCTAGTGACATTAAAATACAAAGAAAGGAAGTAACCCCAGAGAGCAACTTGTTACCTGAAGTCATTATAGAGGGGGATTCCCCTTGCAAACAATAACCTCTCTTCCCTTTCCTCCTCCCTGTCTTCCATCCATCAACAACAGCCTTCAATAAAGGTAAGTGTTATGTGGAATGTTCATTCTTTTGTGCATGTAAATCTGTCTTTAGAGTAAAAAAATTTGTTTTTGTTGATACTTCTGGGTGTCTAGAATGGATTAATTCGATTTACATTATTTCTTATGGGGAAAATGGCTTCGGTTTTGGCTGATTTCAGTTTTCGCCGATTGCTCTGGAACAGATTAAACATGAAAACCGAGGGTCCACTGTATTTTGTTTTTCTAAAATACAGTGGACCCCCGGTTAACAAACTTTTTTCATTCCAGTAGTATGTTCAGGTGCCAGTACTGACTGAATTTTTTCCCATAAGGAATATTGTGAAGTAGATTAGTCCATTTCAGACCCCCAAACATACACGTACAAACGCACTTACATAAATACACTTACATAATTGGTCGCATTTGGAGGTGATCGTTAAGCGGGGGTCCACTGTACTGTCAAAGATTATCATAGTTAACTTTATTATAATCTAGTTAACTTTTTGTATTTTGCTTTTTCCTTGCCTAAGGTAGTATATTGCAACACATGTTGATTCCATTAAAATGTGTTTGCTTTTTCCCCAGCAGGTTTAAATAATCTACAATGTACAATGGAACCTTGTCTTACAAGTGTCCTAATGTACAAGTTTTTTGAGATATGAGCTGTCCCTGGGTTAATTTTTTCCTCTGAGTTATGAGCCAGCTCCCCCTGCTTCCCCAGAGCCAGCTCCCCCTGCTTCCCCAGAGCCTGCTTCCCCAGAGCCAGCTCCCCCTGCTTCCCCAGAGCCAGCTCCCCCTGTTTCCCCATCAATGCAAAACCTGGAGACCTCGCTTGTTTATCTATGATTTCGTGCTTTAATTCCATGGAAATCATCCTCTTTTTCTTCCCAGCATTGTCCTTTACACTTACTTTCTTAGGACCCATGCTTAGAAAAACGAAATTTGGCCAAATGACTGTCAAAAATGTAAGCAAAGCATGAGAGAACTGCTCTCACAGCGAGGTAAACAGTGCACCGAGCTGGTGGCGTTTGTTATTATAATAATAATAATTATTATTATGATAGTCACTTTATATAAACAGTTTGAGATTTCTTTACATTCTGTAGTGTATTATGATTTATTATGCTTTTATATACAGTGGACCCCCTCTTAACGATCACCTCCCAATGCGACCAATTATGTAAATGTATTTATGCCTAGCCATGCTAGGCGTTCTAGTGGTACACTCTGTAATCATTATTTAACTACATGTAAACCACACAACAACCAAATTCTGTAAATTCAACATTGTAATCTTTATAGAGAATAAACTTTGAATTTGAATTTGAATTTGAATGTAAGTGCGTTTGTACGTGTATGTTTGGGGGTCTGAAATGGACTAATCTACTTCGCAATATTCCTTATGGGAACAAATTCGGTCAGTACTGGCACTTGAACATACTTCTGGAATGAAAAAATATCGTTAACCGGGGGTCCACTGTACTATATTTCTGCAATTAGCCTCACAAATACTTCATTTTCTCTTACAATAAGAGCATAGGAAGATACATAAATCAAAGTTAGACAGGAAATGGTGGACGCTTCCACCGCTGCCTCAGCCACCATATTATGGCCTATTTTATTCGTTCTAGAGTATATATCATGTTTCTGTGTTAATTATATTGTTTATTTTTCATATTAGATGAATTGTGATAGATAAATAATCCATACAGTTGATATTAGTGTCATATTCAAGTATTTTGTCTTGTCTCCAGAGTGCAAGAACAGATTAATGGCTTTTGAATTATTGTAATTTAAATGAGGAAAATTTATTTGATATACGAGTAAATTGAGTTACGAGCTAGCTCCTGGAACAGATTAAACTCGTAAGTCAAGGTTCCACTGTATTTAGAGTTTCTTCCTGTATACAGTGGACCCCCGGTTAACGATATTTTTTCACTCCAGAAGTATGTTCAGGTGCCAGTACTGACCGAATTTGTTCCCATAAGGAATATTGTGAAGTAGATTAGTCCATTTCAGACCCCCAAACATACACGTACAAACGCACTTACATAAATGCACTTACATAATTGGTCGCATTCGGAGGTGATCGTTATGCGGGGGGTCCATTGTACTAGTAAATACTGAGTAATGTGAATGTGTCGCCCTATCATGCTCACATTGTTGTTTTAAGGTGCTGATATATTAAATATTTTTTACATCGTTTCCCTTTCCAACCTCATAGTATGTCTTTGATGATGGTAATTCTTTGCAGTCTAATTCTTCTGTGTAATGTTAAACTGAGTGTTATATGCATTGTCAGGTACAATGATAATCACAGTAGCCAATAAATACTATATCTTATATTAAAGTTTATTCATTTACTGAAGATCACAGTCATCAGTAAGTATCAAATATTTAATATCATATGCTGTGATGTTTTCACACTTTTGGTATGACAGCTATTGAATGAATGATGGTGAATGTGTTTACCATTTTTTTTCTGGTAACCTTACCAGAAGAGCGATTGGTGGAATGATGTTGTAAAGAGAGTAGTAAGGGAGAAAAAGTTAGCATATGAGAGATTTTTAAAAAGTAGAAGCGATGCAAGGAGCGAAGAGTATATTGAGAGAAAAAGAGAGGTTAAGAGAGTGGTGAACCAATGTAAAAAGAGAGCAAATGAGAGAGTGGATGAGATGTTATCAACAAATTTTGTTGAAAATAAGAAAAAGTTTTGGAGTGAGATTAATAAGCTGAGAAAGCCTAGGGAACAAATGGATTTGACAGTTAAATATAGGAAAGGAGAGTTATTAAATGGAGAGTTAGAGGTATCGGGAAGATAGAGGGAGTATTTTGAGGAATTGTTAAATGTTGACGAAGATAGGGAAGCTGTGATTTCATGTATAGGGGAAGGAGGAATAACATCTTGTAGGAGTGAGGAAGAGCCAGTTGTGAGTGTGGGGGAAGTTCGTGAGGCAGTGGGTAGAATGAAAGGGGGGTAAGGCAGCTGCGATTGATGAGATAAAGATAGAAATGTTAAAAGCAGGAGGGATATAGTTTTGAAGTGGTTGGTGCTATTATTTAATAAATGTATATAAGAGGGTAAGGTACCTAGGGATTGGCAGAGAGCATGCATAGTTCCTTTGTAATAAGGCAAAAGGGCTAAAAGAGAGTGCAAAAATTATAGGGGAATAAGTCTGTTAAGTATACCTGGTAAAGTGTATGGTAGAGTTATTATTCAAAGAATAAAGAGTAAGACAGAGAGTAGGATAGCAGATGAACAAGGAGGCTTTAGGAAAGGTAGGGGGTGTGTAGACCAAGTGTTTACAGTGAAACATATAGGTGAACGGTATTTAGATAAGGGTAAAGAGGTTTTTGTGGCATTTATGGATTTGGAAAAGGCATATGACAGGGTGGATAGGGGGGCAATGTGGCAGATGTTGCAGGTGTATGGTATAGGAGGTAGGTTACTGAAAGCGGTGAAGAGTTTTTGCAAGGATAGCAAGGCTCAGGTTAGAGAGGGAGATTATTTCCAATAAAAGTAGGCCTAGACAAGGATGTGTGATGTCACCATGGTTGTTCAATATATTTCTAGATGGGGTTGTGAGAGAAGTGAATGCTAGGGTCTTGGCAAGAGGTGTGGAGTCAAAAGATAAAGAATCAAACACAAAGTGGGAGCTGTCACTGTTGCTCTTTGCTGATGATGCGGTGCTTTTGGGAGATTCTGAAGAGAAGTTGCAGAGGTTGGTGGATGAATTTGGTAGGGTATGTAAAAGAAGAAAATTAAAAGTGAATATAGGAAAGAGTAAGGTCATGAGGATAACAAAAAGATTAGGTGACGAAAGATTGGATATCAGATTGGAGGGAGAGAGTGGACGAGGTGAATGTATTCAGATATTTGGGAGTGGACGTGTCAGCAGATGGGTCTATGAAGGATGAGGTGAATCACAGAATTGATGAGGGAAAAAGGGTGAGTGGTGCACTTAGGAGTCTATGGAGACAAAGAACTTTGTCCGTGGAAGTAAAGAGGGGAATATATGAGAGTATAGTTGTACCAACACTCTTGTATGGGTGTGAAGCATGGGTGATGAATATTGGAATGAGGAGAAGGCTGGAGGCAGTGGAAATGCCATGTCTGAGGGCAATGTGTGGTGTGAATATAATGCAAAGAATTCGTAGTTTGGAAATTAGGAGAAGGTGTAGGATTACCAAAACTATTATCCAGAGGGCTGAGGAGGGGTTGTTGAGGTGGTTTGGACATGTAGAGAGAATGGAACAAAACAGAATGACTTGGAGAGTGTATAAATCTGTTGTGGAGGGAAGGTGGGGTAGTGGTCGGCCTAGGAAGGGTTGGAGGGAGGGGGTACAGGAGGTTTTGTGTGCGAGGGGCTTGGACTTCTGCCAAGCGTGCATGAGCGTATTTGATAGGAGTGAATGAAGACAAATGGTTTTTAATACTTGACGTGCTGTTGGAGTGTGAGCAAAGTAACATTTATGAAGGGATTCAGGGAAACCGGCAGGCCGGACTTGAGTCCTGGAGATGGGAAGTACAGTGTCTGCACTCTGAAGCAGGGGTGTTAATGTTGCAGTTTTATAACTGTAGTGTAAAGCACCCCTCTTTTTCGGGCCACCCTGCCCTGGTGGGAATCGGCCAATGTGTTAATAAAATAAATTAAAAATAACCTTACTTTAATTCTTCCTCTGTAAGCCATACATGTAAGAAACGATTAAAATTTAAAAGGAGAAACTTTTGTTTTTCTTCTTGGGCCACCCTGCCTCGGTGAGATACAGTCAGTTTGTTGAAAGAAGTAGAAGAACCTTACCTTAGTGGGAGATGGTTGGTGTGTTATAAAAATTAATTTATTAATTTAATCATTATCTGTATAAATATTCTGGTTGTTTCTCACTTTTATTTTTTGTTTCAGTATTGGTCACTATCTCCATGGGGAAGTGGAGCATAATCCTTCCTCCGTAAGCCATGCATGTCGTAAGAGGCGACTAAAATGCTGGGAGCAAGGGGCTAGTAACCCCTTCTCCTGTATACATTACTAAATTTAAAAAGAGAAAATTTTGTTTTTCTTTTTAGGCCACCCTGCCTTGGTGGGATATAGCCGGTTTGTTGAAAGAAGTTGATCATTATATATGTGTACCTACATTTGCATTTTGGTGCTGTAAAAGAGGCAACTAAAATGCCAGGTATGAGGGGTTAGTAACCCTCCCTCCTGCATCAATTACTGAATGTAAAAAGAAAAACATTCGTTTTCTTTTTAGGTCACCCTGGCTCAATGGGATATGGCCAGTGTGTTAAAAAAAAAAATGCATTTCACTTTGTGTTTGGTGTGCTGCCCTATTATCAACCTGACTGCAAATCAGTTTAAGACCCAAATAAGAAATCACCTCATTACCCAGAATTAACCAGTCAAACCATACCTAACCACTACCAGTTTCTCAAAAGCTACTCATATTGTATTGATAAATGCTCAGCCACTTACTGTTTTAAATACAACTGTAATACATCATATTGTAAATTGTTTTAAATTGTTGTGCTGTAATACTGTAATCTTTATTAACTAATTCAATAGTTTAAAAAGTCTCATTTTCATATAGCATCACCTGATATAATATTAAATTTTCCTGTACTCACTCAAACTCATCTAGTGACCATATAAATTATGTATTATTCCTTACTAGTCTTAAGTTAATCTTTAAGTTTGCCCAAAATGCTCAGCATACAGAGGGGCTTTTGGCATATACACCAAACTATTATATTCCACTGTACAACCATGTAATTTGTCAAAATAAAAAATTTAAATCTAGATCTCCACATGAATGGAGAGGTTGTCAATGTTTTCATATTTTTTTTATTTCTGTGGATGAATGTTTTATTTTGAATTAGAAAATATGAATATTTATCAGGAAAGCAATTCATTGTAAGAGATGAATCAGTAAAACTAAATACAGTGGACCCCCGACTTACGATATTAATTCGTTCCAGAAGGCTGTTCAGGTGCCGTTACTGAACGAATTTGCTCCCATAAGGAATATTGTAAATTAGATTAATCCATTTCAGACCCTCAAAAACACTTACAAAAGCACTTACAAAAATACACTTACATAATTGTTCGAGTTGGGAGCTGTTCGTAAGTTGGGGATCCACTGTAATGGTAACTTTTGCTCAGAGGTCATGTGCAAAATTTATTTAAATGACATAGAAAAAAATACAGTCACATGGAATTTAATCTGAATTTTATGGCCTCATTTAGTTCTTAGTCCAATATATTTAACACTTGTAAATAAAAAATAAGTCAATCAGCTTAAGTATCTAATACCATTTATTTAAGTGGATAACTTGGCAAGGTCAGGATTTAAGATTCTCAGCATGCTGGAACATTGTTATAGTACTTAAATATGGATATAGTACAGGTTGGCCATCACTAATCTGGCAATCAGTAATCTGGTTCCATCAGTAACCTGGCACTAATTTCGGCTAGCACAATTTCAAATTTCCAGAGTCGCAACACCAACCTGCTGATTTTGTTTGGTAGCATTACTTGCTGCATAAGTCATTCCAATTTTTTTTCTCCACTTATTGTTATAATTTGCTCACTTTTAGCCCTATCCGTGGTTCCAACAAATTAAAGAAATGCTTCTCGTTGTGTAAAGCACATACACCGTACATTGTCCATTAAAGATAGGTGGCTTTGAAGCCACTGTTGGTTGCCATGAGCTCAGGTCACTCAGATAAGCTGTGACTGGTAAATTTGGGCCTACATACGAGAGAATAGGTCTGTGTGGTAAGTGTGCTCTATATAAAAAAATCCTGCAGCATGCAGTGCATAATGGGATAATGGGAAAAATAGGCGACTGTTCTTGTGGCATAAAACAGCAACTTTGCAGTGTATTTTCATATGGTTTATATGGTTGTATTCTTGTTTTATTAAAGGTCTCATCTGATAGAATGGAAAATATATTACAGAAATAGATATAATTTTGATTGGTTTTACGCCGGAAAGTATACTTCAAAATTGAGCTCAAAGTAGCGGAAATGTTTGAGTTTTGCCGATGTCCAAAAGTAAACAAATAACGTCACTGTTCAATATGTGTCCAGCTGGTTGGTCTCACACACAGTCACGAATGGGTTGACATTATTTAAACAATTATTACAATAATGCAGTAGTCTGCATAACAGTAAATCTTCTATTTTTTGTGTGAATAAAAAATGCAAGCGTAATACAAGAGGGGCCTGGAGACGGGACTAATGAACAGAGAAAATGTTATTTTAGTGCTAGGAATATCTGCATTGTTTCTTCTGGACCCCATTTTGAAATTGGCATCTCTTGAACTTGGTGTGAAATTGGCCAAATTACCAATTTCTGACCACTTTATTGGATAGTTGAAATAGGTAAATGGGCAGTTTCTTGTACTTTATTGACAGATAGAAGGAATACTAGCAAAATAGCTATGAGTTTGGTAGACTGGAACAATGGAATGGGCCAAAAATAGGGCATAAATTGGTGGAAATCGCTGATGCATAAATATCGCCATTGGGTTAAGTGTATTCTAACCTAACCACTCTGTAATCCGACAAAATCACCAATCCAGCATCCTACAGATCCCAGTGATGTCCGATTAGTGATGGCCATCCTGTAATTATACTATATGGATAGTGTCCATATTCCATTATGGTTCCCAGGAAGAAATCCATATGGTGTTTTTTTTTTTATTTTTTAAATTTTTTTTATTTTCCCATCTGGCAGCGACATTGAGTTTGCTCTTGTGACATCAGTGAGCAGTTGTAAATTTTTTTTTTTTTTTTACCCTTGCAGCATAGCCTAATGTTAGATTCCTTTGTTGACTGCCTGATCCACCAGGCTGTTACTGCTATTGATATACGAATCTAAAAGCCATCACAACATAACCACTCAGCCACTTTGAGCAGGTAGTGGTCCAACTTCCTCATGTACATTTCTACATTTATTCCAACAATATTTCTATTGACTGAAATGTTTTTGCAGAACATTTTCTGAAATGGTGTTTTGATAACAAATTTTCCAGAGGTTGTAATTTGGGGACTGTTTATTATACACTGGTACATAATATACAGAATTTAACAAGCAAAAATAAGTGTTTGAATTACTTGTTTGCCTGTAATGATCTTAAGAATTACAGTAAACATGTGTACTAGATTTAAGTAAAATGTGCCTCTCACATTTATTTATTTATTTATTTATTTATTTATAATTTGAGCACACTTACAGAGGTACAAAAAAAATACAGATAAGAGCAGCATGCCAAAGCCACTTATACTATGCATAGCATTACGGGCTGGCTTAAAATTAACTTAAGATTAACTAAGCAATGATGAAATCAGTGAAAAACATTAATGTAAACTGATTACTATAAAGCACAAGTGAGTATTACAAAGACAGGTCATATGGTTGCATGCATTGTTATAAATTCAGTAGAATGGAGTATTCTGTTAGGTAGTGTATTTAAAAAATAATAAAGTTAGATTGGGTTTTAGGTTTAACATTTATGTGATATAATTGTGAGAAACATTTAAGATATACAATTTATAAGGTTCAGTTATTCAGTATTTATTTGGTTTTCTGTGAGTAAGTGATCTTTGAGAAGAGACTTGAATTTATAAACAGGTAGTGTTTCTTTTATATTTACAGGTAATGAATTCCAGATTTTAGGGCCTTTTATGTGCATTGAGTTTTTGCATAGTGTGAGATGAACACGAGGAACATCAAAGAGTGATCTGTGCCTTGTGTTATGGTCATGTGTTCTGTTGAGGTTGGCAAGGAGATGTTTGAGGGGAGGGTTAATATCAGAGTTGAGTGTTCTATGTATGTAATAGGTGCAGTAATAAGTATGGATGTTTTGTATGGTGAGTAGGTTGAGTGTATTGAATATTGGTGGAGTGTGCTGCCTGTAGTGAGAATTTGTTATCATTCTAACTGCTACTCACTTCAAGTCTGGCCAGTACATTTTAATATAAATGTTAGTATGTGGTATAAATGTATAATTATCAATTTACATTCATTATTATTAGCCAATGATTGGGGCAGAATTCTTTTGTAGTATTGCTTGGAATATTCATCTTAACCAAGTGATGCTGTGATGAAATATACATTGAAAAAATTGTGACTTTTTATTTTATGACGTGTTTTTCTAGGAAAAAGTAACATTTGTGAGTGAGAGTGATTGCTGGTGTCGCCATAGTCACCAGTTCCAGTTAGTTCACTTATCTTTTTTTGGGAAGTACAATGCCTGCACTTTAAAGGAGGGGTTGTTGTATATGGGTGCCTCTGCAAAAACAGTGATTATGTATGAGTGATGTGAAAGTGTTGAATGATGATGGAAGTATTTTCTTTTTGGGGATTTTATTTCTTTTTGGGTCACCCTGCCTCAGTGGGAGATGGCCAACTTGTTGGAAAAAAAAAACTACCTTTCCAACATTTTTTCCCCTTTTAATATTATGATTATTATTTTTATTTCATTATTATTATTATTTCATTATTATTATTATTTCACCATCATTATTATTATTTTATGTATCTTACAAATATTGTAGGTAGTAGGTTGGTAGACAGCAACCGCCCAGGGAGGTACTACCGTCCTGCCAAGTGAGTGTAAAACGGAATCCTGTAATTGTTTTACATGATAGGATTGCTGGTGTCTTTTTTCTGTCTCTTAAACATGCAAGATTTCAGGTTCGTCTTGCTACTTCTACTTACACTTAGGTCACAGTACACATACATGTACAAGCATATATATACACATCCTTTTGGATTTTCTTCTATTTTCTTTCTAGGTCTTGTTCTTGTTTATTTCCTCTTATCTCCATAGGGAAGTGGAATAGAATTCTTCCTTCGTAAGCCATGCGTGTTGTAAGAGGCGACTAAAATGCTGGGAGCAAGGGCCTAGTAACCCCTTCTCCTGTATAAATTACTAAATTTAAAAAGAGAAACGTTCGTTTTTCTTTTTGGGCCACCCTGCCTTGGTGGGATACGGCCGGTTTGTTGAAAAACAAAAATATCTTGCAAATAGTGTCACAAGTTTGTGTTTCTTCAAACTTTTTCCTGCAAAATCTTTCTTCTCATGTGTCTTAATTTCATGTACATCTTGGTTTTACTTAGCTTCTCCCTGGTGTGATGTCTGGACACAGATCAGTCCACACTGTGAGTGCTCCCACAGTTACAGCAAACTGGGATATTTTTTCCCCCAAATTTGAATCTCCTACATTCTCTTGAGTTGTACTCTCTGCCAAAATGAAATCTGCATCTCAAACTAAATTAATATTTCCAGTTACCTCCCATTAATAGCACTTCCTTCATAACACAGACTCTTCAACATTGTAACTTTTCTGTAACTGAATCCCTTACTGAAGATATTTTCAGTAGTTTCAGCCATAGAGTAATAGACATATGAAGAGAAAGCTTTTATTGTTGCAGCATTTCGCTTTGGTAAAACTTCACTGTCACATTTGTCTTAAATCTGGGGGAAGCACTAAACCTGTAAGGGCTATATAGCATGGGGGAAATAGGAGGTATTCAGGTTTGGTCCAAGGAAGAGAAGAATCCAGTTCCTGAGATCAAGATCCCCTTTAATTAAAGGGAAAAGCATTGTCATGATAAAAGCTTCCTCTGCATGTCTTATATTCTATCTTGTCAGCATCTTTTTTCTTGGTATCCATTTTCTCCCTTAATGAGAACTGTTGGCTATCACATTTTCCTTTACTTAGACCATTTTACCAATGACTAGAAGTGGATCCCATTCTAAATAAGAGTTATCTGAATACAGTCTTGTGTACCTTTTCTTCCAGGGAGGTTAATGATATCCACTAATTGCAATCAGATTACAAGATTTTTGAAACCATCTTGGCCTGATCCAACCAGCAGCCAATGACTAATCTAGTTAGCTCTTAGCCCTTTTAAATCATTTGTAAATGTGCTGAAAATTCACATTGAATGTAATATTACAATTGCTATATTTGAAAATGGCTCCATGGGGAAGTGGAGCATAATTCTTCCTCTGTAAGCCATGCGTGTTGTAAGAGGCAACTAAAATGCCGGGAGCAAAGGGCTAGGTAACCCTTCTCCTGTATAACTTACTAAATTTAAAAAGAAAAGCTTTCGATTTTCTTTTTAGGTTACCTTACCTTTGTTGGGTACTGCCAGTTTGTTAAAAAAAAAAAATGAAAAATGAATGTTGTATGTCACACAAAATGACACTCAGTGAAGTGATTATGATTGATCCAAGGTTGGCTTTAGCACCTGCTTTGAGCATATTAATAATCTTGACCAAGGAATTGAATCTGACCTCTCCTTCCTTGAATCAGATCATCGAGTGTCTTCTATTCTCCCAGATGCTGTATAACCCCTATTTCCTTAAGGAAGGGTCCTCAGTGCTGGTAATGTGCTCCTTATCCAAAAAAATTTGGATTCAATTCTTTGACTCAATAGCCCTTGGCCAGCATCTAGGTACCCCCCATCCTTGTCTTCCATCTTGAGGGGCATATGCTGAAGAGTTGAATTAATGGAATGTGAGTTATATAGTCACAGTCTACACTGTAAGGTGGGAAAGTGGTGGGCAGTTTAAGAGTATGACTCTAGGTAGGAATCATATGATCCATACAGGTTTAGAGCTTCCCCTGGAATAGCACGATTTGACTACATCACTCGTTATTTTTGGCAGTAAGTACAAACTTACATAAGAACACCCAAGGTGAAATAGCTAACAACACGAGTCTTTCAAGGATGGCATGGAGAGAGGGTTGCTATAACGTTGATGACCTTCCTTGGGTCAAATTTAATTGCCTCCCTTTTCCAATGCATTATATGACCACCTATGGGTTTAGATATTATTAGCATTATAATCAAAACTAAGCGCTAAACCACCAGGGTCATACAGTGCTTTTATGGGTTAAGAGCTTTCCCCAAAAGGATGGGCCCTTGATCTAAGGAATTGGATCTCCCTTTCCTTGGATCAAACCTAAATGCCTCCAATTCCCCCAAGAATTGTATGAAATGCTGCTTCTATATATATTAATATAATTCCCTCCTAAAATATATTGCTGATGAAAGACTTTTGATTCAAGGAATTTGAGCTACCCTACACTTCTTTAGATCAAAGTCTACCTCCCATTCCTAGTGTACTATAGGACACCTACAGGTTTAGTGTCTCCACCTGAAGATGATATAAGGAAGTGCTAAACCCGAAGATAATACTGTCACATTCATTGAGGGAGGCTCAGGTTAGAGTATTTAGGAGAGAGGGAGATTATTTTTCAGTGAAGGTGGACCTTCGACAGGGATGTGTGATGTCACCATGACTGTTTAATGTATTTATAGATGGGGTTGTAGAGAAGTGAATGTTGCAGAGAGGTACATTTTGCCAGTGATATTGTGCTTTTGGGAGATTCTGAAGAGAAGTAATAAAAGTTAGTGGACAAATTTGAGTGGGTGTGTAAAACAAGGAAATTCAAAGTGAACATTGGAAACAGCAAAGAGATGAGGGTGACAAAATTTAGGTAATGAAAGATTGGATATTAGATTGGAAGTGAATGTATTCTGATACATATTTGGAAGTGGACTTGTCAGCAGATGGGTCTATGAAAGTTAGACGAACTATAAAACTGAAAAAGGAAAAAAGGCGAGTGGTGCTCTGAGGCACCTGTAGAGACAAAAGGGGAATGAGAGTATAGTGGTACTAACTCTTATATGGGTGTGAAATATCAGTTGTGAATGTTACAGCAAAGAGGCTGGAGGCAGTGGAGATGTCATGTCTGAGGGCAATGTGTGTAATGTGAATATTATGCAGAATTTGTAGCTTGGAGATAGGTGATGTAGGGTTACTAAAAGTATCCAGAGCTGATGAGGGGTTGTTGAGGTGGTTCAGAAAGGACAAAAGAAAATAGGATTACTTGGAGGGTGTATAAATCTGTAGTGGAGGGAAGGCAGGGTAGGAGTTGTCCTAGGGAAGGTTGGAGGGGAGGTAAAGGTGGTTTTGTATGTAAGGGGCTTGCTTCTCCAGCCAGCTAGCATTTGTGAACACATTAGGAATGGAAGAAAGTGATTTTTATGACGTGCTGGTGAGAGCAAGGTAACATTTATGAAGGTGTTCAAGGAAAATGTTAAACCAGACTTGAGTCTTAGAGGTAAGAAATAGTGTCTGCACTGTGAAGGTGGGGGTGGGGATATTTGCATTTTTAAACTAGTATATGCATGCCTCTGGCAAGACAGTGATGGAGTGAGTGATGATGAAAGTGTTTCTTCTTTTCTGGGTCACCCTGCCTTGGCAGAAGACGGCTGGTATTGAAATATAGTACTGTACATATTTCACCTTGCATTCATAGGTTAGCAACCCGGGAGGGATCATGCAGCACCTGGAGGAACATGTGGCATTCAGATTAGCTCTAAGGGGAGCACAGGTTCAATTCTATGGATCAAAAGCCATTAACAGCTTCAATAAGTCCCTTGGGACTTATTTCTTAAAATTTTCCCTCAAAAGTTCCTTGATGCCAGTGAGGACTTGTTCCTAGAAATCAGAAGTATCCTTCCCTCCTTTGGATTGAACCTGAATGCCTCCCATTCCTCCTGGTGCTTTTAGACCCCTAATGGTTTAGTTTTCTCTCTCCTTAAATTTAATACATAAAATTTCAAATTTTACATATCAGATGCTAAATAAAAGGATACAAAAAAATAGGTAAAAGAAAGTTTATACAATGGCTATTGTATATTCAAAATATATAAAAAAGATACACATAATACATTCATTCACATAAATATACATTGTTGGGGAATCACTAGCTGCTGCTATACACGTGACACTCATCAGTTAGGAACTTTATAGTCCTTGCTATGCTTTAACTACTTTAAAATAATATAGATAAGGAACCATTATTAGTGAGCTTAAGAAATGTTCCATAACAAGGTACTTGAGTAGCAACTTAACAAAATGCTGTAATTAATACAAGAGTTCACATAAACAGACGAGATATTTACAGGATGGCTTTCTTAACCTTTAGCACCTTATGGAGTGGGAATGGAAACTTAAAAGTTTATATTTGGCCCGTAATTGTTTGGCTGCCAACGTAAGCAGTGTGGGGGAATGTGAGGGTGCCTCCCCCATCTTGTATTTCCGAAAAGTGGCGAGGGGTGCAACAGCTACAAATGCATAGGCGGTGCCTGAGGAAACATGCCGGGGCCACCATTCATCAAAGGCATCATCATGGGCATTCGATTCTGCTGCCAGGGTCCACCCAGCCCATCTGGCCTCATATTGAACATATTGTTCCCTCCCCCTACAAAACCTTGATCATGGGGGTTGCCATTGCCTAGCCTTCCCATGTTGAGATCCATGGGCCCATTGCAGAGCCCAATTCCATGCGAACTATTCATCATTAATGAGTCTTGCTGGTTTATGACATGACCATTCCCAAACGTGGCATCAAAATTCTGGAAATTGTTCTGCATCATGTTCCTCATTCCAGGGAGTCCACTACCCATACTCATGAAGTTCTGCTGGCTGTTGCCCATCATCTGCTCTCGAGGGTCAGGACAGCTACCTAATCTGGGATTTATGCCATCAGCGAAGGACTGCGTGATCCTGGGGTCCATGTTAGTCGCACGTATATCTAGATGATCAGATACACTCCTAGGGATCATTGGTGATCCGTGGATCCAATCGTGTGCTTGTAGAGATCATGATTGCCCTGGGATGTGTTATGTCATCTCTAAAGTCCACACTGCTTGTTTTTATCAGTCTTGGGTCAGTCCTGGATGACCTTGGGTCTTCTGCAGAGTTGTCTTCTGTTTCTCTCTTGAGATCCCTGGGTGGCCGCATGTCGATATCTCCAGTACTCTGGAATCCCCGATCCAACAACTGGCGCAGATCGACATCAGAACTGCACAAGAGGGAAGGATCTGTGGGCGTGGAGCGATTGGAAGATGGAGGGGAAGGCGGGGAAGGTTCTCCCAGAATGCTCAAAGGTGGAGTTACATCACATGAGGCTACAGTGGCAGCGCAAGTGGAAGGTGGTCTTGATGGTGGGTTAGAATGCGTGTTCTCCTCGACTGGAGTTAAACTGTTGATAAAGTCAGTATGTAAGTGGGGAGCCAAAAGGCGAGTTAAATGCTCTCTGATTCCATCGACGTCACCGCTACCATGCCCAAGCTTTGTAAGCAGATCTTCAGGGGGAGAGTCAGGTACACTATCCAGGCAAGACAGAACCAGTTCTACTACGTGAGGATGATCCAACCGTTCATACAATGCCCTCTCCTTTTCGGAAAATCTTTCAGGAGAGGGTGCCTCTTTACTTTTTGTGCTTGTTATCAAGCTCTTTAAAAATTCAAAGTTAGAGTTAACTTCTTTTACTTTCTTGGTGTGGTTCACAATTACTTTATCCTCAGGTGTGGATCTTCCTGAGGCTGGTGGTGTGTTTGGTTTACTGGGGGGGTCTTGGGTGGGTGTGTCTCGTGGATCATGTGGAGGGCTAAGTCGTGGATCTGACCGCTGGACAGTCCTTGGGTCTCTAGGATCTGCACCAACTCTTGGGTCTCTAGAGTCCCCACGAATATCACACATATCACGAGGAATACGACCATCTCTGGTGCTACGTGACTCACGAGGATCTCTTGGAGGAGTTCCCCTTCGTTCATTCACACTCTCAGTTTCACCTTTAATTCTCTTAGCTGTCGGAGGAGTATTACGGCCTGTGATGGCATCCTCACTTTGTGCAACTTGTGCTGATCTTTTACGACTTTCCTGTGGTGGTGCCCACTGAGAAAGCATGCGACGTGGGACACCAACCGTTACCATCATGTCAATTAATTGGGCTCGTAGGGCTGTAGTGTCTGCCCGTCTTAACAACCGGAACAGATTCCTCTGCAGTATCTTGTGAAGGGACCGTACATTATGGTCAAACAGTGTTGGTGGTGGAGAAGCAACTTGCTTCTGTATAAGATTGGTGACAGACACCCAAAGGTCACGTTTGTAACAGGCGACGGTAATGAGAGCCCTCACAGCCACAATAAAGGCGGAGCCACCGACGTAAGGCGTCGTCACTAAGGCCTTTAGTGCATCTACACCTCTAGATACGATCTTGGGAGTCTGAGAAGCAAGCTCTGGAAACCGTGAAACATCAGACAACAGGTGGGCTACGAGTGCGGCCTCCAAGAAGCGAACAATGTGAACTATTAAGCCTTCATTTTCTGATGTGGCCAACATGCTTATGAGTTGTTCTGCCACGCTCTTGACAGCAGGCCAGGCGCCATTGAAGGTGGCCTCATCCAGATCACCGGTGGCCAGGAGCTGGAGGGCATGGCGGTATACATTGGCGAACACCCGTATGGTGCGCTTTACCACCACATGGTCAGGGTCAGCCAGTAGGTCTTGCAAACCACACACTAAATCTGGAGCACTCAGCATGGCTGCGTACTCCATCACGCTGCCTGGAAATGAATATGAAACTAGTTAATTACAACCTTTAATACCATCAGACGAATATAGTCAATTATATAATCAGATTAGCTAAGAACTGCAATGCAAAACAGGCAGGAACGCGCGTCCTTTCCCCTTTCCGGACCTAGTCTAAGGTTGGTTTACGGGCTATAAAACCCATCAGCTACCCAAGAGTTAATAAAGCTGCATGTAATCTGTTCACCAAAGATACTTCAATCTCAAAAAAAAATAGGAATTAAAGTAAACTTTCATATATATACACAAACACTCCCATGTACAAAGCCTCCAGGCCTAGTCATGCACTTCAGTATTACTACGGCATTTTTTATGAAGAACAAGGGCTAAACCCGCATGGATCATACAGTGTTATACCATGGAACCGGCGCACATTAAAGATATACACACAAAAATCCAGTAAATGACCTTTCAGGAAAATGAAAAAGTAAATGCTGACTGGCATTCATAATATGAACTCAACTCCTCCTATTATACTATATATATAAAAAAAAAGTTAAATCCATGAGAGTTATATAACAGAATAACAAATTTCTCATCACTAACAATTTGGCAACAGGCGATAAGACGTAAAAAAAAAAATTATTTGGCACAAACTACAGTTTATCATCAGAAATATTTAAAGGCCAAGTACTACAAACACTCGTTAATATGTCAATAATGTTTACGTATTGATTCACGCATAACAATGTTCACTGATTCACGCATAACAATCATGTTCACATTGATTCATACATAACAATTGTGTTCATATGTATTGATGATTCACGCGTTACAATCAGCTTCACGTATACCTGGAGATTTACTAACTAGGTTCTCTGATAATTCACCACAAATTTCCAGTTACAATTTTATCACGGCAAACGATAAACCCGTCACAAACGTGAATGAATTTCACTGAAATACATCTCGATGATCTATTCAAATTATATTTAAAGGAAATGCCATAAAATTCAACCCAAGGAGAGGAGAGGTTGTCCATTTACAAATAACTCTCACTTAGGGAAGGGGGGAGGGGAAAGAAGCGGCTTCGGTCCGTCCTGGACCATTATTAAGTTGACAACGGTCCAGAGTTGACCGAAAAATCCTTTAAAGTTTCCTCTCAGTGCAGGTCATTTGTGAATTGTAGCCTAGATGCTGTGTCATTCGTCAACGATCTAATACATCAGTAAATGACATCATCCATCGCTCAGCAAATGTTGACGAGGTAATAACAATCTTCCTTATTTTACCTTCCTATTAAAATAATTAGTATTACATTCATGGAAAGCGGCAAACCCAGAAGCTCAAGAGCCTGAGACACAGGAGTGAATCAGTATTGATCCTAGGCGAGTGAGAGTCTCCATTAGTATTCAAGATGGAGTGCTAAATTCGCTGGGGCTATACAGAACCTGGGAAATTTGTGCTGAGCAAACATTCCAGCAGCGAAAGTAAGCCAAGGCGGCTATCTTCACCCAGAATAAGTTATCTTCACTCAAGATAAAGTACTGCGGTCCCAGTTATGTAAACTACAGCTGAAGGAGAGGAGAGAGAAGAGAGAAGAGAGAGAAGAGAGAGAGAGAGAGAGAGAGAGAGAGAGAGAGGAGAGAGAGAGGAGAGAGGGAGAGAAAAGAAAAGAGAGAGAGAGAGAAATTTAGAAAATGTGTATATGTGTAAGGACACACGAGCCACGGGGGTTGGAAATCTTTAGCTCAAGCACTGAGAAGTGTGAAAGTACTTGAGCTAAAGATTGTCTTGCATTAAGATCGCCTGTCTGCGTTTGTAATATATAAATAAATATATATAATTACATACACGTAAGTACGTACGTACACACATACATATTTAAGCACTGGCACAAATTTACTCGACTGAGTATTTATTCATTTCAGTAAATTCAGTACCCGACCAGCTGGGCTGTGGTTCGTGCGTTCAATTACAAGCGACCGAGAGTAACAGCCTGGTTTATCAGGCTCCGATCTATCACGAGGCCTGATCATGGACCGGGCCGCAGGGGCGTTGACCCCCAACACCAGGTATACTCGCGCTTTCTAGCAACTATAGATGTGGTAAGGTTACAAGCGTGACAAACTCAAATTTAATGGCGAAATGAAACGTGCTTAAGCAACAATAACTGTGAAAGTCACTATAAACTACCAAACACGATACACAACATTACTGTAATGGTAGTACATCACTGAGTCGAAGATCCCGCATCCCAGACCTACACAGTTTATGACTAGTCTCAGTTTGTGAGCTAATTTATTAAAAGAAATAGCCAGATCATGATAAATTCCGATATATGATCCTTAGACGACGAAATAACTTTGGAAAGTCGACCGTAAATCCATTTCAATATTCAGGGGAAATATGATCACCAGGACAATTAAGTCCCAGGTTTTGAATCATGGGGAAGCGCTAAACCCGTTGAGGTTTATACACTACACACCGCCTGAGTTCTGGAAAATCAGGTTCATTCCAGATAAAGTCAAGAATCGATTCCTTGAATCAAGAGCCTGTCACCAGCTTCAAGGTATTCGTCCCCCCCCCCAGGTAAACTTCTCCCTTTCCTTGGTCTTAGTTAAACTTCAAAGATTTGAGAGAACACCCAACTAGTGCAGACTGCAACACCTGACATATATCAGTGACATTACCAGCAAATAACGAAAACTAGTCGAGAGCAACTTAGCCTGCATAGATCACCGAAGATTTACTATACAGACAAGCACGTACAACATATGTACAACGTTAGAAAACTTTAATGGGTGATACGTTTCGCTCACCAGGCCCTAGTGTGCAAAACTATCGTCGTTTAAGTTTACTAACGTTGCATCATTTACAGGCTTGACACCAGGATAAAAAGCACAGAAACCCCAGGACAGTATATTATGTCTAGTCACGCACACCACATTCCCTGGAGTAGAGATTTTATTATGCTTTACATCAATAAATGTATTCTAGCGAGGCTAGGGTGTGACCATGACTACCACCCACTCATCACCCTCTCCATGTTATGTTATCTTACCAATACCATAACAAGCATTAAACAAACATAGGGTCATGTAGTACCTGGGAAATGGGAAACTATCAAGTTCGACCCAGGGGAAGAGAGGATGCCTGGTTCCTTGGATCACTGAAACAGCATCTGGACAAGGGTTGCTCATCAGGTTTGATTCGAGGATTGAAAAATAAGACAAGCTAAACCCGTGTGGTTCCAGGAAAGGGAGGGATGGCTCCAATTCTTTGGAGTAAGAACATTTCACAGGCATCAAGGTGCCTCCTACAAGGGAAAGGAATGACAAACCTAGTATAGTTTACCAGGAATCTTAAATACGAAAATTTAAGCCAGGAATAAAGAGGAAAAAGACTGAAGGCAATGAAAATAAGTTTAGATATATAATCAAGTCAGACGTTATAAACAACCGGTTCAGGTTGGAAAAATTGTGATGCAGGAAAGTTAGGCTAGCCAGGATATACTTGTAGAAGAGTGCAACAATCTACACTGTTTTAGATGCAATTATTTTTGAATAATAAAGGCTGTGTTGAGAGGATAGCTTCCCATCCTAGAGGAACTGGTCCACAATCTGCACACAGAAATCACTCCCTACGAAAGCAAAAGACTTGGCAGGCGGTGCAACATACCCCCAATGAAAAGTAGGGGCTCCATTAGTACATTAAAAACTAAAAAGTGGCTGGAGCCCAAGACTGTTCAACAGCCTCCCACCAACTATAAGGGGAATTCCCTGGTTGCAGTCAAGAGGGAGCTGGACAGATACCTAAAGTCAGTGCTGTATCAGCCGGACTGTGGTTCGTACGCTGGACTACGTGCGGCCAGCAGTAACAGCCTAGTTGATCAGATCCTGGTCCACCGGGAGGCCTGATCACGGACCGGGCCGTGGGGGCGTTGATTCCCGGAATAACCTTCAGGTAGGTAGGACCAGGAACTATACATGGAGGGGAAGGGGAGACAGACGGGCACACACAGGGTAGATGATAGTAATACCTTCATAGTGAGCGCCAGCAAGGTGCCACTATCATAGTGAGCGCCAGCAAGGTGCCACTATCATAGTGAGCGCCAGCAAGGTGCCACTATCATAGTGAGCGCCAGCAAGGTGCCACCATCATAGTGATCGCCAGCAAGGTGCCACTATCATAGTGAGCGCCAGCAAGGTGCCACTATCATAGTGAGCGCCAGCAAGGTGCCACTATCATAGTGATCGCCAGCAAGGTGCCACTATCATAGTGAGCGCCAGCAAGGTGCCACTATCATAGTGAGCGCCAGCAAGGTGCCACCATCATAGTGAGCGCCAGCAAGGTGCCACTATCATAGTGAGCGCCAGCAAGGTGCCACTATCATAGTGAGCGCCAGCAAGGTGCCACCATCATAGTGATCGCCAGCAAGGTGCCACCATCATAGTGAGCGCCAGCAAGGTGCCACCATCATAGTGAGCGCCAGCAAGGTGCCACCATCATAGTGAGCGCCAGCAAGGTGCCACCATCATAGTGAGCGCCAGCAAGGTGCCACCATCATAGTGAGCGCCAGCAAGGTGTCACCATCATAGTGAGCGCCAGCAAGGTGCCACCATCATAGTGAGCGCCAGCAAGGTGCCACCATCATAGTAAGCGCCAGCAAGGTGCCACCATCATAGTGAGCGCCAGCAAGGCGCCACCATCATAGTGAGCGCCAGCAAGGCGCCACCATCATAGTGAGCGCCAGCAAGGTGCCACCATCATAGTGAGCGCCAGCAAGGTGCCACCATCATAGTGAGCGCCAGCAAGGTGCCACCATCATAGTAAGCGCCAGGAAGGTGCCACCATCATAGTGAGCGCCAGCAAGGTGCCACCATCATAGTGAGCGCCAGCAAGGTGCCACCATCATAGTGAGCGCCAGCAAGGTGCCACCATCATAGTAAGCGCCAGCAAGGTGCCACCATCATAGTAAGCGCCAGCAAGGTGCCACCATCATAGTGAGCGCCAGCAAGGTGCCACCATCATA